GCAGGGCGGTATCTGTTTGTTGTTTGAAGCTCCCCTGCGCCCCCGCGGTCTGCGGTCCTGGGTTACAGCGGCCCTGGGAAAGGACAGAAAACACACCCTTTCACTGCCTGCAAGTTGGTCGTTTTTAGTATCTTCCCAGGCTGGTGCAGCCGTCACTCCCAGCTAATTTCAGAACATTTGCACTGCGCCCAGGCCCTGATGCCACAAACTCCTGTTCCCTTCCCCAACCTCAGCCCGCCTCCTTCCTTTTGCGGGTGGCCAGGCTGTGTCTGGGCACACCGTGGAGTGGCCTCATTCAGTGCACAGCCTTCCTGTCTCATCCTCTCTGCCCATGTGTGAGCTGCCCTCCAGGGTCATCCTGGCTGTCGCTGTGCCTGTGCTTTATTCGTTGGGTGCTGGGTGATGGCCCCTTGTGAGGACAGACCTTACTGTGTCCACGCATCCATTGATGGGCATTACATTTGCCACCAGTCTCTGGCTGTTGTAATTCTTTTTTTTTTTTTTTTGTCTTTTTCCTTTTTATCGGTACCAGGGATCGAACTCACGACTGCCTGCTTGCAAGGCAGGAGCTTATGCCACTGAGCTAAATCCCCAGCCCCTGTTGTGAGTAATTCTATCTATGCATGTTTATGTACAGATTTTTGTGGATGTAGGTTTTTCATTTTCTTGGATATATACTTAGAGGTAATTAAATCTCCCCCACCCTGCACTCCAGTATTGGGGATTGAATCCAGGGCTTTGTGCTGAACTACACCCTCAGTTCTTTTTTAAAACTATTTTTAAACCGGGCATGGTGTTCAGTTCTCGGGAGGCTGAGGCAGGAGGAGCACGAGTTTGAGGTCAGCCTGGGCTACATAGTAAGGTCAAGGCCAACCTGAACTGCATAGACCTTGTCTCAAAAATATTTTTAAAAATTTCTTTTTTAAAATTTTGAGACAAGATGTCACTAACTTACTTATGCTGCCCAGGTGGGGCTTAAACTTGCAATCCTTCTGCCTCAGTCTGCCCAAGTGTTGGGTTTATAGGAATAGACCAACATGCCTGATTTCAATCACTTTTTCAAAAGAAGTTAATGTAGGTATTTCACTTTTTTTTTTCTTTTTTCTTTTCTCTTTTCATCGGTACCAGGGATCAAACTCACGACCGCCTGCTTGCAAGGCAGGCGCTTATGCTGCTGAGCTAAATCCCCAGCCCCCAGAAATTAATGTAGGTACTGGTATAAATAATTTTTTTCAGACAGTTCAAAAATGATGAATTGAAAAATGTTTCTCTTCTGATGTGAGTGTCCCAACTGTGTGGTCTGTGGTCACACTGGGACTGGGACACCTCTTTTACCCGTGGGGACGGCGGGTTTTCTGGCTGCTTTTGCTGAGTAGCCTGCTGGTCCCCACGTGACACTGTAGAACCCCCACAGGCTCCGCACGGCTGTGTGTCTGTCCTCCGGTGGACACTGTGTGATCGTATCTGGTCTCTGCATGTATCGGTGGGTGGTTCCCCAGGGTATGCCTGGCTATACAGATAGGGAAACTGAGGGCCAGAGAGGGGTGATCTCACTGAGCTAAGTGCCCGAACTCTTACGTGACCTCCTGACGCAGACAGGAGCTGGCCTGGGCTCCACCAGCAGCCACCTTGTGCCATCCAAGAGCCTGGACCCTCTAACACCACCCCGGGGGGAAGTGTGGGCCAGGTCCTGTGTGTTGCCCGGGGCTGCTCTGCATGCTGGCCTTGCCCATCTCCTGTGTGACCACAAGCCGATGGCTTCTCTCTCTTGGCCTCAGTTTCCCCTTCCACATTCCCATGTGGGAACTCACATCTCAGCCCTGATTGGTAATTGTGGGTGTTGAGTGAAGCTACCCTAGGGGCCGGCTGGGAACCTGTGCAGGTAGCCGGCACCTGCTGGATGTTTCTTTATTTCCTGTTTCCCAGTACTCTGACATCTGGGACCAGGCTGCATTTGGCTGGGCCTCCTGGGCGGGCCAGCTCCTAGAAGCTGATGACCCATCACGCCTTTGATGTTTGTAGGGCCTGGTACAGACACTCACGCTTTGGCTGCTGCCCTGGCCCTGAGCCGCCAAGGGTGTCCTGCAGCTGACTTGCTGAGCTGCTGCAGCCGCTACCCTTCAGGCTGCTCACTCGGCCTCCTCCCCTCCCCTTCCTGTGGAACCCCAGGCTCCTGCCCACTCGCCCTGCCTCTGCCTCCTGCCCAACCCCACACCTCCCTATGAAGTGATGGGGCATCTGTTTCCTGCTCCTTGGACTGCCCATCATAAGCAAGGGGTGATCAAAATATGCAGATTTAAATTAAAAGGCTCTACTGAATAAAAGATGCATCGCTGTGAATCCCCCTCGTGTTCCTCCCTGTTGCTCCGAGCACACTCACCCATCATCTTTGCCATTCTCTGAGGCAGTTCTGAAATCCTCTTTCGTGAGAGTCTTTACAGTGAATGCTGCTGCTGAGCACCATCCAACAGAACGGCATGCTGGTGGCTGCGTGGTGTGATGTCGTCATCATTTTATTCACAGGATCTGGCACCGTGTGACTTGGGCTCTTCCCAGAAGTCCAGAGGACCGTGGGAGGACATGTTTTGAATCGGCTCAGACCGCAGAGGCAGCCAGGACTGTGTAACTAAAGACACTTGTGAAAGAGGATGAGTGTATTTGATGGGAGGAAAAGGGTTTAGAGGGGATTCATGGCAGTGGACCTTTTACTGAAGTAGTTTTCCTAATTTAAACATTCACCATATATTTGGATGATACCGTGTTGTCCTTTGTGAGGGCCATCTTCATGTTTGCATGTCTGATACACCTGCTTATGACTAATGCCTGGTGCCTTAAACACAGTGCCCAATGCCCAGTGCCTGTGCCGTGAGGTTCAGTGTGCTAGTGTGGGTGAGGACCTTGTCCCCCGGCAGAGCTCTCTGAGGGCACCGTGCTGTGGTTTTCAGGCCTCGCCTCCTCACATCAGCCCTCCGCTGTAGATGCAAAGGATGGAAAGACTGAGGCTCAGAGAGGTCAAGCAACCTGTCGGAGGTCACACTGCGTGTCATGATGGAGAGATCTCAGAGCCCCTTGTCCCCTCCATGGGTGGAGTGGCCTGGGTGACCCTGAGGCCTGATTCTTCCCAAGGTGAAGACATTCTCACATCATAGCTCAGAGCTGGGTTATTAGGGGAGGAGGGCCCCATTGTTGGGGAACAGAAAACATGATTGTTTAAAAGACATGGCCTCCAATGTATTCAATTATATGTAATTTATATAATGGCTGCTGGAGTTTCTAGCCAAAAAATAATAATAATAATAATAATCGCATGACTTTCCTTCCAAGGCCCCAGAGACAAATTAAAATAATGTAAAGTGAGTTACTAATTGGCGTGGGCGCGGGAGTCCGGGCAGCCTCCAGGTGTGTGTGTGGTGGAACAGGGGCCCACCCGGAGGCCAGCCTCGAGCTCCTGCCCCGTGCGTTCTGTGGTGAGGGTTACATCCGGTCAGGGCTGGGGGCCGCATGAGCTGAGTGTCAGCTGTGGCATCCGTGGCCCTGGGAGGACTTGGTCCTTGGTTCTGGCGGTGTCTTCCCTGCCCCCTGCCCCGCAGCTCTTCTCAGTGGCCCCTGGGAGCACAGAGCTCCTTGGAGCCCTCGCTGCCTAGCAAAACAATCCTCCTTTCCCACTGGGAAATGAAGCCCTGTGACAACATCCAGGGTGTCCGCGCTGGCATTCGGGGGTGAGAGAGTTGGGCAGGGGTCTGTGCAATCCTGATCCCCCACCGGCCGCACTGTCACTGTCTGCCACAGGAAGTGGGCTGAGCCTCAGAGTTTGAGAGGTCACTGCCACAAGCACTGCCTGAGGTCCCATCCATCCGTGTGGCCCACGGTGTGGGTGGCCCTGGGTGACCGTGGGCAGCTCCTGGGCCTGAGAACACAGGGTGTTTTTCCCCATTACTAGCAGGGCTTGCGATTGGCCCATTTTGCAGGTGTAGTCCTGGAGAGGCCCGCAGAGTCACCATGGCTGTGTGTGGCAGCTTGGGGGTAAGACAGCCTGAGCGGCAGGCTGGGGCCTCACCGCACAGGAATGTAAGGGACCCAGCTTGGCTCAGCGTAGGGCTGAGGGGCCACAGCTGCTGGTGGTGCCCAGGCTGCCTTAGCTCCCTGGCTCAGATGGCCACACACCCTGATCTCCACCTGCCGTCTACCCACAGCTGACCCTGGACACCTTCTCTCGGGCCTCTCTTCTGAGCCTCCTGCTGTCATTTATGTCCCCTCCACAGGATCCCACCCAGTGCCCACACCTTCCACATGTCATGAGGCCACCGTAGCTCTCTCTGTGAGACAGGGATGGTGGCTGGTGCATCTTGAGGTCCCCAGGGATGGGGCCCTCTTCAGGGGACTTGTGGCCTGTGGTTAACAAGGTGGGAGCTTGTTGCTTCCTGTTGGGAGCAAGAATGATAGGGATGGGGGTTTTTAAATGAATCGTAAGTTAAAAACAGACCAAAGTGCCCGGGAACCTACATGGGAGGAAGAAATGCACCTTCAGAAATGAGAAGGAACAGAAGAGAAAGGATAGAGGCAGGGTGCTTTGAGGAGGGCAACGGGGGGCTCATAGGCCTGATTTCCCCCCACTTTCCCTGGGGATCCCTGGGAAGGTGGCTTGAGAGGGGCAGAGAGGGACTCTGATCCCGGGATCAGAAATTAACAATGTCCTTCACCGTCATTAACAATGTCAGTTCATAAAATTGAACCAACACCAGCCAGTGGATGTCCCAATTCTGGGGCCTCCTACCTGGACTTGTGCTCATGGGAACAGCCGCTCCAGCCCCCACGTTGTCCCTAACAATGTCCATGTCTGGTGTGCTCCTGACCTCTGGCTTTGGTTTGTGACCTGCTAGGTGCCGGGACTGTGTCCCATTTACAGACGGCCCTGGGAAGGCAGCTTCCCAGACATAGCCAGGCCCAGAGCGGGTAGGGGTTCAGGGAGTGGCTGGCTGGTCCCCTCTGTTTTCCCCTTCTCCCTGCACGGTCACTACCTCCTCTGCAGCCCTGCCTGGCACCTGGTCCTGTGCGTCACCCCTCCTGCTGCCCACCTGGCCTCCCTCCATCCAGCCCACTCCCTCCTCCTGGCCTCACCCCTCTCATCTCAAGCTGCAATTACAGCTAATCAGATACCTGAGCCGCTCGAGAAGCTATTAGCAGCTCTCCTGCCCGGTGGGAAATCAGCCGGGCTGGACAATTAGCTTTTTAGTTCCAACTCAGATTCTGATGCAAGCAATAAACAACTCAGCTCTGCTGCCTGCCCGCACCGCCACCTCCGCCTGCATCCTCTCTCCTCCTCTTGCATCTCCTCCACCTGGGCAGACCCCACCCAGATGCCCCTCAGGCTGGGGGTATCCTTTGCCTATTTGGCCCATGTCAGCTCCTGACGCAGGCCACAGCAGACAGAACCTCCGCAAGCTGGAAGCCTTCAACATTTCCCCCACTTCCGTGTCTAGAAAAATGGGAATGGTGTTGATGTGACCTGTCCCTTTTCCAGGATCTGCGGACCCTGCAGCCCCCAGGCTAAATCCCGCCCGCCTGGTTGAATTTCTCAAGGCCATGTATGTTTGTGTGTGTGTGTCTGTGTCTGCATGTGTGTCTGTGTGCCCATGCGCAAGCGGCTCTTTGTAATTAAGCAGTTAATTGCATCGGGTTCTTGATTAGCTTTGGGGGATGGTAATGTTCTAGCGAGATGAGGTGTTGTGTACAGTTCAGAATCATTTAGAGAAATTGGAGCTAATTTTGCTGTCTGCGCTTATTACTGCATTAATTTAATTTGGGTTGCTTTTAGCTCATTAACACATCTAATTAATTCGTTGACATCACTATTAAGATGTCTCTTTGAAATTGGCGTCTCCAGATAATCAGGATGGAAAGGCTGACAACACCAGGCGCAGGGCTGCCTGGGAACACAGAGGAGGGGAGGGAGAGAGACCAGACCACTAATGAATTTTCCATCCGAGTCACTGAGTTCGGTGGAGGGGGTGCCAGGCAGGCGGAGGAGCTGAGACAAAGGAAGGGGGAGCCCGAGAGCTCCTGGCGGCGGCTGGCCGGGTCTTAAATATTGAATTGCTTATGAAAACAAACAGACCAGGGAGCTTGGCAAGGTGGCCCCCAACCTGCCCAGTGCCTCTCTGCCCTGAGTGTTTCCCGGTGACCCCCAACAGGGCTGCCAGGCCAGTGCCAGTGCCAGCGCCAGATGCCCAGGCCTGAGGGGCAGCAGGAAGTTGAAAAGTTGGGCATGCTTGTGTCTCTGCTATTGAACACATGGGTAAATTGAAGCCCAGAGATGGGAGAGGTGTGGTCCAGGCTCACAGGGAAGTTTGGGGACCTCCTCAGGGTTGACAGGAGGATCCCAAGCCCCACCACCAGCATGCAGGGTCCTGTGTCCCCCGAGGTCATCGCTGGGTAGGGGGACCCACTGACCATGGGGAGAGTGACTGGGATGTGTCTTCCTGTGTTGTCCCTCACATTTCTGTCTTCCAATCTTTTACACAATGGCCTCATACCTTCTGGAAGGAGCCCATTTCTTCCTCTTGTGTGGGGTGACCCTATCTTTGTGCCCAGATGTCCCTTCCTCCAACAAGGCTCCTGGAACTGGTCTCTTGCAAAGTAAGGACTAACATAGATCCTCAAGAGGAAACTCAGAGACTCAGCACAACTGGGCCAAACCTTCCTTCTTTCCTTACTTTTGGTTAAGGATCTATAGTGTGAAGACCCTGGGGGCCAGAGACAACTGAGTTCTCAGGTGCTCATGTTTCCTAGGGAGATGTCAGATGGCTATCACATTGCAGGGACAAATAAGAGGATGATCAGGGATTTAGGTCATATAAGATGGTGATCTCTTGGAGTTGTAGTAGGACATCTTTATGCAGGTAACGCCCAAGCTGGGTTTTGAAGGATGAATAGAAGTTTGCCTATGGTCATATTTATCATGTTCAAGACACTCATACAATTGCCAGCACACATCAGAGATCAACCTGGCTGATGAGTTCCTGTAGGGTGGTTGAGCATTTTGGCTGCTCCTGCCTGGACACATGGCCTAAATAGCATGGGTGGCATTGACTGGGCGGCTTCATGCTCCTGTCTCCGGAGTGTGGGGGACGCGGTGGACACAGGAGCCATCGCAACTCTCCTGTCTGCCTCCTCTGCTTGGCGATTGTCACGGGCTCTTATCTACTATGTCTCCTAAATCCCTGTGCTGAATACCTGGGCTGTACTGAGAAACCAGGGGAAAAGGGAATCACAGGAGCGAGTCCTAAGTTCCCCACGGCTCCTGGAACTGCAGCTGGTAGGGAGCCCTGCGGGCGCTGTGGACTCAGGAGCTGTGGCAGAGCCTAATTCCTAGGTTAGGAACAGCCGAGATCAGCGGTGATAACTCACAGTAACATGGAACAATTCCAACAATCCAGGGCAGTACGTTTGTGTAAATATGGTCTTTTTCTCTCTCACAGTACCTTATGGAAGCTGGGTGAGGAGTGCAAGCCTGTAATCCCAGCTACTCAGGAGGCTGAGACGGGAGGAGGATTGTAAGTTTGAGTCTAGTCTGGGGAATTTAGCAACACCTGTCTCCAAATAAGTAAACACAAAGGGTTGGGGCTGTAATTCAGTATAGAGCATCCCTGGGTTCAATTCCTGCTACCTAAAACAAAATTTCACTGCACTGCTGGTCTTAGTTTTCTTTCCTTATTAATAGTCAACAACTTTTACCTTTCAGCACCCTACGCAGGATGGCGTGCCATTTAAAACTGAGGAATCATAGGCTTCTGGAATTTTCCATTGAATATTTTCAGACTGCGGTTGCCCATGGGGAGTGAAGCTGCAGGAGGAGGGACCTGAAGGGTGAAACAGGGCCATGGGGACCTGGCATTGGGACACGGGCAGGCAGAGGGGCCCTGTGAGGACAGAGGAGAGGACAGGAGCAAGCTGAGGTGGGAGAGGCAGCTTCAGGCGGCTGGGGCCTTGATGGTGGCGGGCATTGACACCTGAGCTCAGAGCTGTGGGGTCTGCAGTGGTGCCACACAGAGGTGTCCCCCAGGGGTGTGACTACGGCCTGAACCTGTACACAGTCCCTCAACCAGACTTCTCCTGGGGCTCCAGATTTAGGGGTGACAGCAAGCTCACCCTCCCCACTTAGCAGCCTAGCAGGTGTTACAGCACAGGGGTCCTCAAAACCTCTCAAAACCAGTTCTGCCAGTCACCCTACCCTCAGCTCCCCCCACCCCAGCCGCGTGGGAGTCCCACTTTTAACACACACCCCAAGTCCAACCCGGCCCTCCTCTGCTCTGCAGCTTGCTATGGCTCCCACCTGCCTTGGTGTGAAGGTCCTATGGGAGTGCGTCACTGCCACAGCCCTGTCGGCTAGCTCAGTGTCCCTGGACTTGCCCAGGCCCACCTCAAGGCCTTGAGCCTGCTCTGTCCTGCTGTGACACTGGGTTGGTGAGCTGGACTGGTGAACTCCCTTGTGAGCTACATCGAGGTAGCACAGTAGGTGCTCATGAAAGCCTGTTGTGCAGAGGAAGAGAGGCCTTGCTGTGAGGCCAGGACAGGTATGGTCTGCACCAGAGCCCAATGTCCAGGCCCAGCCCTTTCTGGGGTACTGCCTGTCTGTCCCCCTTTACCTCTATCACTCCGTCATTCAACAAGCAACATTCATAAGCAATACTATGTGCCCAGTGCTGCCTCACTGCCAAGGGTTCCTGGTCTCCACCACCCTCAGCCCCAAGCTCTGCCCCTTCCTCAGTCTCCTCCACCATCACTGGTTCCAGGAGGCTTTGTGGCCATGAGCCCCTCCCTACAGACAGCAGACCACGGCCCAGAGACTGGAGCCTGTGGATGAGGGGCTGTTACTGCTATGCCGCTGTCCAGGGCTGCCTTCCTGGGTGCTGTGTTCCTGGCCTTCAGGCCTGGGGGCAGCATCAGATGAAAGACTGGGTGTAATGTCAAGAATCTGGATTCTGTCTCAGCTATCCAATGTCTAGCCATGCATGCCTCAGTTTCCTTACCTGCAAAGATGAAAGGCATGTACCCTGGCTCTGCCACCTCTATAGCAGTGCACTTAGTACAAGCCACCTCAGACCCCCAGGACAGGCTGTGCCCAGCTTGGCTCCAAGCAGGGCCCCCTGTACCTCCCCAGACACTTCCAGGAGAGGCTAGGGGTGGCAAGTAACCCAGCCACAGCCAGGATGAGGGGAAGGCAAAGGGCTGGACCCCTCCTGACATGGCCAGGACACCTTCAGATCTATGGTTAAGTTGCTTTCCATGAGACGGTCATGCAGCCTGGAGGAGTCCCCAGCCCCCTGGGAGCATCCTTCCTAGCTGATCTCAGTTGGGGTCAGGAGGCTGCAGGGCTCTGCAGAGCTGGGTGAGCTGAATGCCCACAGCCATGGTCTTGGGGGACGTGCAGGAGGGACGGCAGGGGACATCATAGCACTGAGCTCAGAATGGTGTCACAAATGCTCTGTTGTCACCGTCCTGAGCTTCTTCACTATCAGATCATTGAGTTTGTGTTTTTGACATCACATCCAAAAGGGACAGCAGGGCACGTGGCCAGCAAGTGGGCAGCGGGATGTGGACGTAGCCACTTGTTTACAATTAAAATCGTTATGGGTTGAGGGGGTTATTCAGTGCTGGCTTGTTTGCTCAGTGTGCATGAGGCTCTGAGTTCCACCCCCAGTACCAAAAAATAAATAAAACAAAAATAAAAACTATGATGCATGCCATAGAGATGGATAGTGAAATTCATGTTAATAATTTAAATTTAAATTCTTTATTTAGTATGATATTAAATAGCAAATATAAAACACCACAGTGCCCAAGTCACTCATTGCAGAAAGGACAGACCTATGGTTCTCAGAAAATGGACCTCCATCTGTCAAAGCAAGAAGCTGAGCCCCTACCTCACACCATACTCAAAAACTAACTCAAAGTGGGTCAAAGGCCTAAACAAAAGCAAAAGTATAATAGGCTTAGAAGAAAAAGTAGGGGAAAATCTTTGTGATGTTAGATTTGGCAATGATTTTTGGGCATGGCACCAAAAGCAGAGGTAATAACAGAAAAATTGATAAATTAGACCCCTTTAAAATGTAAACTTTAGGGCCAGGGATTCAGCTCAGCAGCATAAGTGCCTGCCAGGCAAGCAGGAGGTCATGAGTTCAATCTCTGGTACCCCCCACAAAAAAATCAAACAAAATGTAAAACTGTAGACATCAAAGGGGGCTATAAACAGAGAAACAAGGTAACCCACAGAGTGGCAGGAAATATTTGCCCACTGTATGTCTGGTAAAGGGTCAATATCCAAGATACACACTGTCTCCTGCAACTCAACAGCAAGGAAAGAATTCCACTAAAAATGGGCAAAGGTCTTGCACAGGCATTTTCGCAAGGGCCAGAGATGTAGCTCAGTTGGAGAGCGCTGGCTTCCCTCCCCAGCACACAAAATGAAACAAAAGAAGCAAAAAACCAAAAGAAACAGTTTTCCAAGGAAGATGTGCAAGTGAACAATAAATACATGAAACATGCTTAACATCGCTGTTTTAGGAAGGTACAAATCAAAACAACAATGAATCAGTACCGCATACCCATTATCAAAAAACCAGGAAGTAGGTGTTACAAAGATGCAAAGAAAACAGAACCCTGTGCACTCTTGGCAGGACCGTGATGTGGTGCAGTCACTGTGGAAAACAATATGGAGGCTCCTCAAGAAGTTAAAATAAGGTGCTGGGGATTTAGCTCAGCGGCATAAGCACCTGCCTTGCAAGCAGGAGGTCGTGAGTTCGATCCCCGGTACCGATAAAAATGAAAAATGAAAAAAGACAAAAATAAAAAAAAAAAAAAGAAGTTAAAATAAGCCGAGTGTGGTGGTGCACAAATGTAATCCTAGCTACTTGGAAGGCTGAGGCAGGAGGATCCCAAATTCAAGGCCACTTAGTGAGATAGTTTAGTGAGACCCTGGCTCAAAAAAATTACCATAAAATACAGCAACTTTACTCCATGGCAGACCCCAAAAGAGTTGAAAACAGATGCTTAAGCAGATATTTGAACATCAGTTAGGGAGCAGGGACCAACAGGGTGGGTCAAGTGGTGAGACAGTAGGCTGGGTAACAAACCCCTGGGTGCGGTAAACTCCCTCTGGAGTGTAGCTGTTTCAGCAGACCCGCCTTGAGACCCTGAAGAAACCACAGAAGCAGAACGTTTGCATGAAATGAGAAACTGTTGCCAAAGAAGCACCTGATCAAGCTCTCTAACTTCACTTGGGCTTAGTAAAATTAAAATCACTGATTTTGGAGGTCACGCAGCTGGGGGATGCATCATGATTTCCACACTAGCTTTGCCACAGAACTCTCTGACATGTGAGCTATGAGAATAGTTGCTTGGGGTTCTTCTGAGACTGCTTTTGGGTCTGTAGACATCTGATGGTGCCTAACATGGGACCAAAGGCTTGACGCTTGCCTTTGTATTGTGTCTGCCCCCTTTGCTGTCTTACCTCTTGGGTCAGATTTTATGCTTTGCATGTAAACATGTTGACCATTTAAGGGGTGTGCGTGTGTGCCGCAGTGCTAGGGATTGGCTCCAGGGCCTTTGCACTAAGCTACACCTCAGGCCCTCTTTTACATTTTGAAACAAGATCTCACTAAGTTGCTAAATTGCTCAGACTTGGCTCCAACTTAGCTCCTCCTACCTCAGCTTCCCTGAGTGCTAGAATTACAGGCAGGGCCACCCCAGCTGGCCAGAAATCTCCTGTCTGACTTGGGGGAGCTCTGTGTGCAGCCTGTGGATCTGATAAGTCCTGATTCCACCTCACCCTGTGTCTCTTCAGCAAGTGTCCTGCAAATGCTGTCACAAGGCCAGGTTGTTCCTGCAGGATGATGACCCCAGCCGGAAGTGGAACTCAGCAATTCCTCTTAACCACCAAGCACGAGGCACAAGGCACAAAGCACATCAGTGCAGGGTGACAGTGTTAGGTACACAAATATTCAACATCCTCTGGGACAGGCTAGCTGTGTCCATGGGTGATCCAACTCTGTCACAAGTAGGAAAGCCTTTAGGAACTGTGGCCCTGGCCAAGGTGATGTGCTGGACTTTCCCCCATTGCAGCAGATCATTAAAAACTTGGGACTCTCTGGGCTTGGGGAACAGCCACGTGGTCACTCTGGACCAATTTCTTGCCATCTTCAATCAAAGCTCCAAGTTGGCCCAAGAGCCTCATCCACGCCATACTCTTTCTGTTTGTAGGGTTGGGTGCTCGTGACATCTGGCTCAGTCTCCATCTTCTGGCATCGATATTGTAACAGTCACGTTCACGATAGCTGAAAGGTAGACGTAACCCAAGTGTCTGTTGATGGGTGGCCTTGGCAGACACAGCCAAGGCTAAACGAAATGTGGGGTGTGAATGCCATGGAACAGTACCTAGCCTTAGAAGACAAAGTGATTGTGATACTTGCTACAACAGGGATGGGCTCTGAGGCCATGTGCTTGATGGAGCAAACCAGCCATGAAAGGACAGCGTCTGTGTGAGCCCACTTTCTGGGGTCCCCAGAAGCATCAGCTCCATACAGGCAGGAAAAAAGACAGTGGGAGTCAGGCAGTGTCAGTTCCAGTGGCTGCAGTTTCCAACTGGGAAGAGCAGAGTTCAGGACTCGGGTGGTGGCCACAGCCACACAACTGCGTGAATGTGCTCGGTGCCACTGAACTGCCTACTTCAAAACAGTCAAACTGTAAGTTTTATGCTACATAAGGAGGTATTGCAGGGTTTCTGGAACACCACGAAGAAGTAATGGACTGTACTTCCTTTGTACTTTTTATTTCTAGATCCATGCGAAGTTGCTGAATCGCTGTGGTTGGGCTCAAACTTGCAATCTTCCTGCCTCAGCCTCCCAGAGTGCTAAGATAACAGGCAGACCCTGCTTCTTACTTTTCAGCTCGGGACAGCCAGCCCTGGCCACCCTCTCCCTGGCTGCTGTTCTCCCACACAAATCTCTTGTTCCTAGATCCTCTGGGTTTGTCTCCCTCTTTCCTGCCCCTTTTATAAATTCCATTTGTGCCTCTGTTCCCTATCCTAGCTTACCAACTGACTCTTCAGGTGAGGACACAAAGCGTGTTGCAGGTTATGGACTGTTAACAAACCATGACATTGACATCTGTGCTGGATAACTGGGACAGGGCACACATACCCTTTAAGAAGTCAAGCAAACATTAGAGAGTGTATTCGCCAGCTGTCCCACTGACGGACACAGGACCAATACTCATAGTTTAGAGGAGGAGAGGTCTGATTGGCTCAGGGTTTCAGGAAATTCAGTCCATTGGCTGCCTCTGAGGCAAGTGCATCCTGGGAGAGGGACCTGGTGGAGCAAAGCTATTTAGTTCACGGTGGCTGAAAGCAGAACAGGGGAACGGCTCCGGGGAGAAGGGGCAGGGACTCTAGGGCATACCCAAGGTCATACCTCCATAACCCACCTGGATACACTCAGAGCCATTCTGGTGGATCCTGAAGCCAACTAGGTAGATGCAGTCAAACTTAGCATCACACGGGAGGAGCCCACTGTCGCAGAATATGTGGGTGGTTCAGTGATGACAAACCACGCCCTGGTGACCTGCCTCTACCAGGAAGGTATCGCTAGCTCCCTGCAGGTTTCCTTGAGCTCCTCACAGCCCCCATCCCCTGCTGAGACGTGTGTTCACTGCAGTACTGCCTCCTGAGCCTTCTGAGCTGGACATGCCACGTGCCCTTCTGCACTGGCTCCTTCTAGTACATTCTGTATCTGAGTCTTCTCAGGGCTGTGAAAGCCCTCACCATGCTTTCTGTCTCCTGCATACTGCTCCTTGGTATGAGTGGACCTCGAGGCACTGGCTGTTCCTGAAGGTTGATGAATCTGGTTTTCCAGTCCTGGTCATTTTGGAACTTGCGATCAGGCCCTTTGTTCATGTAATTGCAGACCTTGACCCTTCTCTGCTTTGTAAATCCTAAACTTTGGGAACAGGTTAGCCATTGAACAAACTCACTCCAAAATGTTCAAGTGAGCTGGGTGTGGCAACGCACACCTGTAATCCCAGCACTTTGGAAGGCTCCGGCAGGATTGCAAATTCAAGCTCAGCCTTTGGAATTTATCAATTTAGTGAGACTCTGCCTCAAAATACAAAAGAAATGGGTGGTGTGAGGATGTAGCTCAGTGCAAAGGCCCTGAGTTCAGTGCCCTACCCTGGTAGCAATAAAGAATTAAATTCTGGGGCTTCTGGGCCTGGAGGTTTCGATGCTGAGATCAGAGCATGAAATTCCACTTCCGTGGTGGTCAGGAGTTTGGGGACACTGGCCAAGGGGAGTGTGAGGACAGGGCTGAGATGGTCCTGCGGCCTCCAGACCAGCCAGGGCTGACGGGCACTGTCCCTCTCAGGTCACCAGAGTCCCTTGAGGTGTTTGGGTAGCCTCATGGCTGTGTGGCACCTGGCAGGCCTGCAGGCTGCCTCTACCTGCACGGGCTCCCATGAGGTCTGTTCTTCCCAGGGTCTGGAGTGTCCCACCACTCCGAGCAGGACCCAGCAGGACTTGTGCCGTTAGCGGGATTCTCAGAGCGCTTGCTGGATCAGTCTCTCCAGCACTTCATTAAACACTCCAGTTTAATAACAACCTCGGGGGGATTCCCACCAGCATTGGAGCCTGGAGGGTGGGAGCAAACAGCTGCATAATTAACGGGGCTCTCTCTCAGGGGTGGGGACATGCGGGAGCCCTTGAAAGCAGGCATGTTGCAATTAGACTTCACACTCACCCTGTATTGGCGCCCCATAGATCCAGCCCAGCCAGTGCTGGCTGCCACCACCTCCGTCATCGTTAATAAATAGGGCCACATACAACAGGGTCCAGGGTCCAGATCCAGCCACCAGGTGTGACTGAGATGGTGGTCTTCCGTGCATGTACAAAGGTCACCCTGGACCTGGTGGGGGCCTGGTCACCTCCCCCCTCTCCACATACCCACTGTTTCTTATTTCCAACCTCCCAAAGCTCTCTCCACACTGCCCATAGCCTGACCAGCCTCAGAGGAAAGCGCTTGGGGTGACAGACCACACAACCCTTGAGGTGACGTGGGCAGGCCCCTTGAGGTCCCCTGGACCCCAGCTTCTCCTTGGACAGGACCCAACTGGGTTCTAAATGATGGGACGCAGTGCAGGTGAGAACTGTCACTCTCAGGACAGTGGAACTCTCAGGGCGTGAGACTCCATCTTGCTAGCTGACTTGTGCAGGCATCTGTGGTGACCGGTCAGGGCAAGGAGGCCCGGTCCAGCACTGCTGCAGCCTGCACGAGTGGGAGCCATTGCAGCTGACCGGCCAGGCCACCCTGTGAGAGGACTGAGTGAGCTATGGCAGTGGATAACTTATGTGCTCTCATCTCCCCAAGTCCTCTCTTGTGTATAAAGATGGCTTTCTGAGGGGACACACACAGGACGTCTCCTGTCATTGAGTCACTGAGTTTCTTGCACTCAGTAGAGGTGAAATGCCTCCTCCTGCCAGAAGTCCTCCCGATTGCCCTCCCTCCTGAGAGAGTGGTCAGGGCTTCTATAGAGAGAAGCCATCATCTCTGGGGGCCAAGTCTGGGGACGAAGGTGGAGAGGCAGGCAGAGGGCTTGCAGGGTCCTGTCTGAGAGCTCTCGCTAAAGTCACAGTCTTGTGCACTCGGGCAGGGCTGGACCAGGAGACCCCTGGTCCGGTGCAATGGGCTCCTCCTATTCTGCCTCAGGGCATCTCCTCCCCTTCCTTACACCCCACTGACTGCTCACAGCAACTTCTGAGAGTCCCCAAGGCTTATCTGCCTCAGTCCCCCAAATGCTCAGTCCTCAGAAGCTATGAGTTAGGATCGCTGCTCGCAGCTGTCCAAAGCCACTGTCAGCCCTTCTGGCCTTCACCCAGCACCTGATGTGTGTGGTTTCTTCCAGCAAGTCCAGCATCCCTCAGCCACACACTCAAATTCCAAAATGCTCCAGGCCGGCAACTCTCTGGGTGTGCTCAGAGTTTCAGATTTCAGAGCTGCAGATTAGAGATGTTCCGCTGGTAAATGTGATGCAAATATTCAAGCTCTGAAATCTGAAACATGTGGGTAAGGAACACTAAATTTGTGTTAGGGTTTCTTCCTGTAATTAAGGACAATCTAGGCTCAGAGAAGTGCTGTGACTTGACTAGAGACACGCAGCTGGGCCAAGACTTGAACTCTGATCTGCCTGATCCCAAAACTCAGGTCTGTGCTCCTGTCCACCCCACGCTGTAGCCCCAGGGACTTGAGAACACTGGCTGGGGTCCGATTCTCCCTTAATAAGCTCCAGTGGAGGGAGATTTCAATCCAATAATACAAAGCTGCAATAACCGTTATAATTAATTTATACAAAAGACATTATAAAATTACACTCTGTGCATTCCAATCCCATCCACAAGGTACACCAGCTTCCCAGTTAAGCTACAGGGCCTCATGAAGACAGACGGGAAAGAGGTATTTCAATATTTCTTATAATTTTATATTCTCTCTAATATCTCTCATGCTAATTTCATTATGCAACACAGTCGGCACGGTGATGTAATTATTGAAAAGTAATTTTGCAATAAATGGATTTAAATGTGTTAGAGTCCGTTGTAAATTCAATCTCCCGGCAAGGGCGGTGGGTTGCAGACGGGAGGCGGTGAGGGGCCTGGACCAGGGTGGAATCCAAGAGGTCCTGTGCAGCCCCAGCAGGGAGCCTGCTTGCACCTGCTGGAGACACCCGAAGGGGCTGAGAACTCTCTGGTCCCCACCCCTCACTGTCCACCCTGGGCCAGGCCCCACCTGGGCCTCCCCTGCCCTCACTCCCTGGTAACACCCGAGACTCTCTGTGGTCCTCACCCCTGCAGCCAGGCCAGTTTCCCATGCAGCTTGGGGGGCCCAGGCCACACTCTCCATCCCTTGCCTGAGACCTGGAATAAAATCCAGACCCCAGCCAGGCTGGCCGACCTCTTCTGCTGCTGCTCTTCTCTGATTCCTCCCCTTGGACACTTTCTGGCCCACATACCATTGTGCCTTCATGTCCCCTCTTGTCCTACCCCAGAGCTGGTCCTTCTGCCAGGAAAGTTGACCTCCAGGTGCTCTCATGCCTGGCTTCCGCCAGGTCCTCCTCTGGGTACCCTGTTGTCCATCGAGCAGGCCTCAACCATGGAACAATTTGCCTGGCAGCCGTGACCATTCATGAAGCCACTGTTGGGCAGCCTTACAGCCTCTGCCAGCCATGGTGGCTCGGCTCGCTGTCCCTGCAGGAGTGCATCCAGGTGGAGGGAATGGGATAGGGAAAACCGGAGGCCAAAGCCTGGTCTTTGGGGAGTGGAGGCAGAAGCGGTCTCAGGCTCAGACTCCTCCAGGGAGCCTTCCTGAACTGATGGGGCTGCAACTGCCCAGTGTGTCGAGGTCTGTGGCTGGGAGATGGGCAGCTCAAGCCCAGCTCCTTCTTAGCCCGGTGGCCTCGCCTGTCCCAGGTGATTATGATGGAGTATGCGTTCAGCAGGCGCTCCCTAAAAGCCCTTCTTGCCTTGACAGCTGAGGGAGAAACAGTGGGTTCCACCTCCTTGAGCCATGCAACACTCATGGATTTCCCTGGATGCATGCGTGACCTGCCAATGTCATCTGCTGTGCACCACACCTGCCTCCCTCTGTGCCCCCAAGCGGACTTTGTGCTTCTTAAAGCCTTAGGCGACTGCCTGGAGTGGCCATCAGAGGGAGCTCTGCTTAGGGTGCGCCACTGGGGGCGCACTGGGACCTCAAGCAGCCTTTCTGCCTCCTGCCATGAACCTCTGAGAGCACAGGCAGCTGCACGGGTGAGCGCGCACTCATTCTAGCAGGCCAGCCTGCACAGGTGAGAACTCACGCAGTTGTAGGTGCCTGCCCCAGGTGTGCCTTCCTGCCCCAGCTGCCCCACCCATCAGGTCTGCAAACCTCTCCCCTCCCAGCTGGCACCAGGGCCCTCCCAGCCAAACAGCATCTGCAATTTGTTCCTGGGCGATGTGTAAATTGGCACCTCATTGATTATTAATGAAGTGCTAATTGCTCTTTGCAACCAATTTTGCCACAAAGGCAGCTGGGGCCATTTGTACAGCATTCCAGACGTGGGCTTCCGCAGCTGCTGAGGCCTAAGCACTTAGGACAGGGGATAGGGCCACTGGGCACTCGATGGTGTGCCAAGCCCTGTCCTGTTACCAAGGAGGAAGCCCATGAGGAGCCACCTGTGTATCCTCCAGAGAGGACTACAAGGCCTGGAGGCCTGTGAGGCATCCTTGGTGCCCAGCGCAGCCGGGAACTGGAGTAATCTCTGCCCAGGCATCACACTGCCAGGGTGAGGGCACCCACTGCTTGGACTTTGAGAGGATGGAGTGGTCAACAACCCAGTCCACAGAGGCACAGATGCAGTGTAAACAGCCTGGGCCCTGCGCAAGATAGAGTTGCTTAGTTGTGCTGGTGGTTGCCTGGCAATGGGGCCTTGGGGACAAATTCCCCAGGGATGGGGCAGGAAGTGTGATCTGGGAACACTCTGGAGGCAGGAGGAGAAGCAACCCTAATGTCGTCCAGAGCCTGTTTAGCATGGGACCCAAGGCCCCCAATCCCGGTACAGGCCCCAAACACACATGTACCTGAGATGTGGCTCCGTACCCCAGAGGAGGAATCATTTCTCTGTCCCTACCTGTGTGTGGCAAGGACAATATGGAAGCAGAAAACCCAGATGTGCAATCTTTCACCCAGGGAGGGTCTTTTTAAAAAAATTTTTTTGTATTGGGAATTGAACTCAGGGCCACACCCTTGCCGGGCAGGGAGGGTCTTTGAGGAAAGTCAGTGGGGGCTGGGAACAGGGCTTCCCTCTAGCTCAGTACCAAGGTAACACTTCTCTTCTGGGTGGGTCTGCTCCCTCCACAGCACCCTTCACCCTGCTCCCACCCCAGAACCCCTCACCCTGCTTCCTCCCCCGCACCCCTCACCCTGCTCCCTCCCCAGCACCCTGCCCTCTTTGAGTTGCTGTCCAGGGCTGGTGAGCCTCTGGCCTGGTTCACTGGCCCAGGGCTGCAGGGAAAGATGGTAACACCCATTCCCTCCTGGGTTCTAGGGCACATGGGGTTCTGCTCAGGCCATGAACACTTAGAGGTCACACAGCAGCAGGTCAGTGACTTGTTTGTCGAGGTCTGTGTTGGGACCCTCAGACCCCAATTATACAGCTCGGCATATCAGCCTGCCTTGTCACAGCCCAGGTCCCCCCTAGTCTGAGCAGGAGGAGTGCTTGTGGGGGTTCTGTTTGGAGTGCTGCCCACCTTACCAGCTCCCCTTCTACCCATGGAGAGTGACCCTGGGCTTCTCCTTCAGTCCAAGAAGGGTTCCTGAGCATGGTTCTCATAAGTAGTGCGGGCTGGAGTGGGTAGACTGCAAGCCAGGCAGACAGCTGTGGAAGTCTTCCAGAGTGCTTCTGGGCCGGGGACAGGGGAGCCCCATCCCTCTGTGTCCTAGCAGTACCAGGCTCTGTAGGTGGAACCCCTTTTCTCACTCAGGTCCCTACCTACCAGCAGCAAGAGTGCTGTGACCCCTCAGGATTCCTTGGGCTACACCCCCAGACCCCCCAGGCCCCAGGGTGAGTGCGTTTTGTCTGCCTTCTCATTCCCTGGGCTCAGCACAGCACATACCCCACAGAGCCTCAGTTTCCCTGCCTGAAAAGAGAAACCAAATACTCACTCTGGGCAGGTGGTACGTGGGCCTCGGATACTCTGGCCTCAGAAGGAGCGGGAGGGCACTGGTGCACTCCTGGGTCCAGCTCTGAGGTGTGAGTGCTGGGGATTCTCTGTGGACATCAGGAGGAGGATGGGGCGGACAGAGATGGAGAGATGTGGGCAGGGGACTAGGAGAGAGGCAGGCAAGAGGGGAAAGGAAAGAGAAGGGAGGGCTCAATGGGACAGGCTGCTGCCTGTGCCTCGCCTGGTGGCGGGTGCCAGGCTGTCCGGGCTCAGCTGTCCCTCAGAACCACCATGAGCCCATCACACCGTCTCTGGCCCTTGCAGTGCTGGTTCAGTAGGTGCCTCAGGAAGGCAAGATCCAGCAGGGCACTGGGGGTTCACGCCTCGCCATCAGGCCAGCAATGCACGAGTCCAGTGTTACACAAGCCACCAGCAGGGTATCAAAATGTTGCAAGAACCCCGCGGTCACTGCTTCTCCCTGGGCTTCAGCTCCTGTGTCAGCGGTGGCCCTGTGAATCTCTAGTCTTGGAGCTGCAGATTGAGGATGGAAAGTGCTTGGTTCAAGGCTGCTAGTGCTCCCTGGGGCCCTAGCAGGGCCCAGGGTCCAGCAGAGGCCTAGGCTGGACTCTGCAGCAGCCGGGATGGGGGAGTGTGAGGGGGCATTTGGGGATGTTTATCCCGAGGAGATGAGGCAGGAGATGGATGGAGAATGTCCTCACCAGGCTGAGAGGAGAGGGACAAAAGCAGAGGACAGGGTAGACCACAGTTCTGTCTGCACGGTCTCTAGGTTAGGCCCAGGGAGGAGACTGGGCTCCTGGAGGGGCTGGGATCACCCAGCTCTAATCCCAGCATCTACTGTCACATCAGAAAAATCTGCATTTGTCCCCAACAGTGCATTGGACTGTCCCAGGATGGCTGCCATATACATAGACCCCAAGGTGGCTCTGGCTCCTCTTTGGGGACATCAGGTCTGTGTTGGAGAGTGCTCCTTTTTCCTTGCTGTGTAGTACTTTAGCACACTGACACTTTCACTGCTTTCCTGTGGTGGTATTTGTGTCACTCCTGTTTCTTGCCTCTGTAGATGATGCAAGCAGAATCTTCCCTGGTGCACACACACCAAGAACACACTTCACACCATGAACATGTGTCCTGCCTGGCAGCCTCATGGGGCTCCTCCTGCTCAGATGATCAGGGTGTCAGCACCTCTGGTCTGGATTTCTAGGTTGTTGTCTCCCCAGAAGACTCCTTGTATAGTTCCCGTCATCCCTGTGGCCCAGCCCTGTCCCTGTTCATGTCTCTCTGATTCAACTTTCTGATACCCAGGCTGGTTATGAATTTGGGATCATCCTGCCTCAGCCTTCTAGAGTGCTGTAATCCCTACAGGTGTGCACCACTGTGTCCAGCTTTGGCCTTCACTTTTTGATCTGTGTTCTTGCCTGATGTATCTCCCCCCCCCCCTCTTTGCCAACCTCCCTGTTCATTACTTTTGTAAGTAGAAAAAATTTTTCTTGGTGTAGCTTGTGGGAGAGGCTAGGATTGGGGTTACCAGCAGAAAAGGGGAGAGCAGGGTCCTGCCCGGCAGAGGCGTGCGGTGGCAGATGGAGGAGTGCTGTGGTCCGGCCTGTTTCTGCTCTGGACAGGTGGAGGATGCCCTGTGGCTCCCAGCTGTGAGGTCCCACTTAATTCAGGGGTGTGTCTGTCGTTGGCCACTGGGGGGGCGGGGTGGGGCCGTTTGGGGTTTCCCTTCTCACTGCATTTAGACTTTGTTGGTGGGGACTGTTTGCAGAGGATGCTTAGGAGCTGGAAATGTGGGCAGTCAGGGGTCCGGAGCTGTGCCCCCACCCCGGGTGGCCCTCTCTTTTCTGTGCCTGCCCCTCCTTGGGGCC